GCCACGTGAAAATGTGTTAATCCATCTTCGTCAATGTAATTTACGTCAAGTTTGTTGTAAATTTTAAAGAGATCAGAGATTGTGGTGAGATTGGCACCCTGCTTAGCCGCACGATGGACTGGCGTGGTGCGACGCAACAGAGGCTTTCCGTCTTTATCCATTTCGGGCGCGTCTTTGAAGCCGCTGCGAGCCACAAAATCTATGAATCGTTCCCCTGGTGTCTCGCTGGCGTCTTCATCTGCGCCTGTGACGCATTCCATCAAAAGCCAATAAATAACTTTTTTCCGAAAGAAGTCTAGAAGATTTGGAAGTTGGCCTTTCCAATTTTTGATGACGGCAACGAGTTGATGAAGAAATTCACGTCTATCCTCTTGAATCTCCCACGCGACATTTTTCGACAAGTACCCGTACATTTCTAAATATTTTCTATTATTATAGCTTACACTGGATTTGTTGTAGGACATGTTTATACGCACTCACGAACACCAAAAAAAAACACTAAAAATTACAAATTTCAATTTTTTTTCGCTAATTTAAAAGCACGTGTCGATGAGACCTATTTTAGGTTGTGTATTCTTTAGGCGACTTGAACGACTCAACATGTAGAGTTAAACTGCTTAGATGCTATTAGATATTGAAGCTTGATGCCTTTCCAAGATAAAAGAGAAAGTTAGGCAGGAAGTCGGAGCGTTCACATTTCGGAATGATGAATATTAGGAATTATGAATATTCGGAATGTGTTCCGCTTTCAATATTCCGATTTTCAAACATTTCGAATATGACACATTCCGAATATTCATAATTCCTAATATTTATCATTCTGAAATGTGAACATGGCTCTTAAATTACATACCCATTAGCCCGGGCGCTAGCTATGGGTCGAGTATGCATTTTTAGATCCATAAGGTAACCATCGCTTTTTATAGGTTTTTTGGTGTGATGAATCGATTTAGCTTGGTTGCCAAGCGTTAAAATTGGTGTTTTAAAAGTTATTAACAAATTTATTGTTTATAACTTAAAAAATTTGTTTAAAAAAATCTGAAAAAATTCACACTTATTCTTTGACTAATTCTAAGACTATTTTGTTCGTTGCATTTTTTCGTTTTAGACGTTTCTTACCGAGTTAGAAAATCGCAAAGTTATTTTTTTACGCACAAATTTGTTCAGAAACCAATCATATTTTTAATCTTTGCGATTTTCTAACTCGGTAAGAAACGTCTAAAACGAAAAAATGCAAGGAACAAAATATTCTTAAAATTAGTCAAAGAATAAGTGTACATTTTTTCTGATTTTTTTAAACAGATTTTTTAAGTTATAAACAATAAATTTGTTGATAACTTTTAAAATACCAATTTTAACGCTTGGTAACCAAGCTAAATTGATTCAGCACACCAAAAAACCTATAAAAAGCTTTGGTTACCTGAAAATGCATTCTCGACCCATAGCTGGCGCCCGGACAATAAAGAAGCAAGTTCAGTGGATGGAAAAGTGTTGGGTGCACTTGCTGCACCGCACGAATTTTGATCTACGGTCGAGAAAGTCGCGGCTATTCGGTTGCGATCACTAACTTGCCAGCCAACGATCTCGCACGCGCGTGCGGTGTTGCAGGATTTGAAAGCAGCTCCAGCTCGTAAATAGCTATATACTCATTTATACAATACCCACTGTAATTGGTAGCTCCGAATAAATACTCTTTGCTCGTGATAGCTTGGCTTTGTTTCTTCTTTGGGGCACGGCTCGTTTGTAGATTAACCAAATGACTCTTACAACTATGCAGTTACATAATACCACGCATTTTTATCCATCGCGTTGAACTCGTCAATTTATACGAGACAAATGTGTTTACTTTCAGTCAATCGAATCACAGAATAGAACGAGCATCATTATCTAGCATAAACTTGAATTTTTTTAAAGTCCTCGTAATCGTCCAAATATTATCAAAAAATAAGATTTCGATTTTGGGTTGTGCCAAACTTTACTCGTTGTATCTATGCATGATTTGCTACGGTTGTCCTTTAAATCTGTATCAGCAGTGAACACTTTAAAGCGGAATTTCGGTATTTTTTTCGTTTTCAATGTGGCCAGCGTATAATGAATAATATGTAGAACACAACGTCCTTGAATCCAATTCGCAAGATAAAGAACAAAGCAGACTTTCGGCTTTCATAGAACAAGACTCGGTACGAAAAGGCGCAAGAGCAGGTTTCGGAGAGCCAAGTGAGTTTAAGCCGTGGAATAAAATCGAAAGTCTCCGTTATATTCACACAGATTAATTTCGAGCACGCGCGCTTACACACATGAATCACTCGGAGGAATCACGCGCTCCGCATGCAACAATGAATTTTCAAAATCAAGGATAAAGTAAAAGTGATTTTCGCCGCTTATTTATACGGGCGCGTGCACTCGTTATACGGAGAACTCGCGGTAACTAGTTCGGCGAGATGGAGATTACATTAAGCTTATCGGCTCGGCGCTTAGCCGGCTTTATAAATTTTCGGCTGGTTCGACGATTCGATGACTGCCTATCTTTGAAGGCTCGTTGCGTCCGAGGAGCTCCAGGCGGTGCACTCGTGAATTTTCCATTTCTGCAAAAGAAGAAAAAAGCGTGGAGCTCTAGCCGATCGTTTCGCGTTGGTGCGCGCGAGAAGCCGAATCATCGCGGCAGGTGAAAGTCCGATCGCGCCGAGAAGCGCGCGGATGCACTCGAGACAGTCGTCTCGCTGCGATTCTTCCAGATCAAGACGATAACGCGGGCAATTATACGATTGCGAGTTAGAGAGAGAAGAGATTCGCGCAGTGCGAAAACGAGGAGAAAAAAAGACGGACGGCGCGTTAGCAGTATTATAAATCGTTGAGAAGCGTGGCGCCTGCTAGTTGACGCGTGGGAAGTAAAATAGTCGAGCTGACGAGAGACTCGACTGCGCGCGAAAGACGCTACACACAAGAGCGTATAATAAAGTACACGACCGTCGTCGTATTGGTTGCTTTTGTCGAGGCACAGTCGCTGTGCGCGCGCTAAAGTTGTTTTCGGCGCATAAGCGCGTATAATATCCGAGTCGTCGTCGCGAGTCGTCGTCGTCGCGGGCAAATCGGATGGCGGCAGAGCGACTCGTCGACGGCTAAACGCGCGCGTATAGTACACAAGTACAGCAGCACCGAGCAGCGATGGTATTTGTGCGAGTGCAGACTCGAAGACAGCATAGTAGTAAGCGGCAGCAGACAACGAGCATCGTGAGGCGCGACGCGGCGTAGAGGCGGCGGATCGGATCGTCGCGGAGGCGCCGCAGTTCGCGACAGACAAAATAATCGTGTCTGGCCGATCGCTCGTCGCCACTGCGCGCCACTCTACGCGTTATATTTTGTATACCACTACTACTCTGGCCTCAGCAGCAGGCGGCTGTACTGGCAGATACTTTGCAGCTCGGCCTGCAGCGGCGGCAGCGTAAGCAGCCGACTCGTATACACACGATGCTCGGCAACGTTTATATATATACGTGCAGAGAGAGAGAGAGAGAGAGAGACTCGTGCGTGTGCAAATACATCCTATATAAGTGTACGCGAGCGACTGCGGCATTGGCAGACCATCGCGTCACTCTTTAAATACTCGGCCGCATCTCGCCACGCGCGCGCCTTGTTTGTGTGTAAATGTGCTGCTGCTGCTGTTCTTTCTGCTGTTTCTGCTGCAGTCGCAGTCGCAGTCGCTCTCGTTATATATACGTGCTCTGCAATAATAAGTGTATACCGTGGCGTTTAGTTACTTTGTGTAGCGCATGCAGATTCGCGCCGCGCCAACGACGCGAGTCTCCGCGATCTATCCATACGATATAGCACAAGTTGCCAGTGTCTGTGTGTATGTGTGCAAGAGCTCGGAGCGAGCATTATATTATAGGTACGTACGGCGCGCTGCAAGCTCGCGCCGCTGCTGCAGTCTGCAATCGACGCCGCGCTGCGCTGCACACGGCGCGCGCGCGGACGACGCCTCCTCGACGAGCTAGCTCCGACCGACTGATTTTACACCTTGTGTTCCGACCCGCGCTCAGCTCTCGCATATACGTATACCTACCTACCTGCTGTCTGCGCTCGTGCCATGTAGAGGACTCGCCACCTTCTGTCGTCGTCCGTGTCAACGGCCCACCACGGCTGCTGCTGCTGTCGCTGCTCGAGCCGGCTTACGACGACACCTTGAGAGGTGAGGCCGTTTCTTTACCTTGGCGCATGCAACTCGTATTTACCTGACCGATTCGCGCACTTACCTGTATACTGTAGGTAATATGACCAGTCTTTTACTCGAACATCGACCGTATAAATTATAGAAAATATCCTAGTGCCACTGCGAGCTTGCAATTTTTTTATTTCACGCATTTCTCGCGATTCGACTGCTGGCTCATCGCGCGAAATTTTTCCTACATTTTTAACCGCGACTCAATTTCGAGCGCCGTTGGAGCAGTCCTTTCTCTGCTCGCTGAAATGGTTCGGCCCATATATACAGATATTTTCGCCCGTGCTGCTTTTATTGATTTTACCTACTTGTTGCAGCTTGCACGAAGCGCAGCTTGCAGCTACTTCATCTATAACAACACACAGTTTGTCGTTTTTTTTTTACAGGTCAAGTGGACTTCGTCGCTATGATCAAATTCCCGACCAACTCAAAGTCGACGGAATGATTGTTTTCAATCGGTCGATAGCGAAATTTGTAACGTCGAACAATAAATATAAACTGCCACGAAGAAAATCGTAGATATCGTTTAAGCGTCGATTTAGTCGACCGTTTTTTTCTCCAAAAATATGGTAATTTTATTTACGACTAATATACGCTATATTTTATAACATCTATTGAATGCTAGACATTTTTCAGGATGTTGAATTTAATAAACCGTAAGAAGAAATAAAATATTCAGCGTTGAGAAAAGTCAGAAAAATCATGGACGTAGTTATGGACTTTGATATAAACGAAGTCATACGAAAGGGAAAGCTTGATAAGCTAAAAAAATTTATAGCCCTCGTTGGATTATCCCATGCTAAAACGTGGCAGGGAGGATACACGCTGCTGTACTGGGCATTAGCCTACAATCAAACGACTATTGCCAAATGGCTCTTGGCTCAAGATTGCCAGGTGAATCCAGAAAATCAGAAATTTTCTCAAAGAACGGCTCTACATCTGGCCGTTGTGATAGGCAAAGCCGAAATAGTCAAGACGCTGTTGAAAAAAGGAGCCTCGGTGAGAGTCAGCAACGACCGCTTGGAGACTCCTCTGCACATAAGCTGCAAAAAGCAGAAACCCGAGGCTCTTTTGAGAAATGACATTTTAACGATAATAAGGCTGCTTCTGAAGCACGGAGCTCCCGTCAATGCCAAAGGAGGGCTGTGCGAAGAAACGCCGCTGCTCTTCGCGGTGAAAAATAAACAGCAGAGCGGCAAAATAGTCAAGCTGCTTCTTAGTAACGGAGCGAACGTGAACGATTGCGACATGTACAGAAAAACAGCTCTGCACATTGCGGTGGAAAATGGGGACAAAAAAATGATCAAACTGCTGCTGGATCACAAAGCCGAGGTCAATGTGAAAAACTGCAACGGAAGGACTCCGTTGCACTTGGCGGTTCGAGGAGGCAACAACGAAATCGCTCGGATGCTGCTTCTCAACGGAGCCGACGTCAACGACATAATTTGCGACCTCGACGAAAATCGTTGGACTCCGCTGCATCTCGCCGTTAAGAACAAGGACGAAAAAATGGTCAAAGTTTTATTGGAGTACAATGCCTACGTGAACGCCAAAGAGGACCATTACCGCACTCCGTTGCACATCGCCTCGATCAGCAAGTGTCAAGAAATAGCGAAGATACTTTTGAACGCCGGAGCCGATATAAGCGACGTCGACAAATTGGGTCAGACGCCGCTGCATCTGGCCATCAAGATCGACGACGAAAAAATGGTGGAATTTCTGCTGGCGCACGGGGCCAGTGTGTTCGCTCGTCGCAAGGACGGAAAAAACTGTCTGCACTTCGCCTCGGAGATCAGATCGGCCAACATCGCCAAGATCCTGCTGAAGCGCGGGGTCGACATGCACGACACCACTCACGACGGGCGCACGGTGCTTCACTTCGCTGCGAAAAAGGGGGCCAAGGAGCCGATCGAGCTGTTCCTGCAGCTGGGCATGGACGTGGACCTGAGGACGCGAGTGGACGGCTTCACGCCGCTCTACTACGCCGTGAAGAAGCGCCACGCGCAGGTGGCCGAGTACCTGCTCTATCACGGGGCGGACATCAACGCGCCCGTGAAGATCTACCAGACTCTGCTGCGGGTCGCCGTGTACGACATGAACAAGGACATGGTGGAGCTGCTGCTGAACTGGAACGCGGACATCAACGCCCAGGACCAGGACGACGAGCCGCCCCTCATCATCGCCACGGACAGTCCGCGTTACGAGGACATACCGGGCTCCGAGATAATGCACGTCATCACCGACTGCCTCATCATGAACCTGGCCAAGAACGTCGTACAGAACAATCCGGTGAGCGAGCAGAATCTCGATCTGATCAAGCACCATCGGCATCCGCGCATCAAGTACCTCTACGACAAGTACATGAGCGAGCTCATCAACATGAAGGAGAAGAAGCTTTACGAGAATATATCCTACTTCGATATCTTGACCAAGAGTACAAATGTTATGGTTTCGTACGCACGGAATGTTAATATCACCAGTGCCTTCGAATCTAGCGACTACGCCAATGCCTTTCCTTCCTACTCATCCATGATGTACAAAAATTACGAGAGAGGCAAGGTGAAGAAGCAGCTGCTCGACCTGGCCGGCTCGACGCTGCAGTTTCTCTTTAGACATTTTAATGATCCACAAGTGCCGCTCGAGCTGCCTTACGTAGTGAACAGACAAATACTAACGTACTTCAACTTGAAAGATTTGAGAATCTTATCTGCGGTCTGCCAGCCATCTCCATTAAAAAAATAAGCACTTGACTTTCACTACATAGGCACGAAGAAGCGCGTATATATAATACTTATAGCATTACCTGCGTTGATAATTTCCATTTATCATACACTTTGCTCGCGAAAGTATTGAATTATTACAAGTACATGTTAAATTAAATATATCATGCATCAACATCAAATCGTTGGCAAGAAAAACAAGCATTAATATACTTCGATGAAACATATGGCTTGAAAATTAACAAGTTTAATGTGTATATTGTGATACAATTAGGATTCTTTTTGCAATTTTATAAATATATTTAGGAACTTTATCAACTTTTAAACCGATTTTAGGCCTAAGGTATTTTTTTACATTAGTGTTTTCTAATCAAGTCCGTATTCGTAAGAATTAATAATTAATATATTATATACATCAGCGTATATTATTACGTTATAAATGTATTTACATGTTGGATATTGTTGTACGTTGTGTAAAAATTTAAGAAAGAAAAAAAAATTAGTCCATTGATTGGCGACTATCGCGAGTATTAGCGCGACTCTCTCTCTCTCTCCCAAAGATGTATGTGTCGGTACGTCAAAACGTACATGTAGCCTGAATGAACGTATATAATACATAAGATACAGAAAAAAAGGGCACGCGCAAGCACGACGAGTAAAGAGAGACGAACGAAGAATGCAGACGCGGATCCGAGACGCGCGCGTGAAATCAGATCTGTTTGTTATGTTGCTACTATTCTCCGCCACGAGAGAGAGTGACGTCCAGCTCCGCATCCTCGCGGTGACCTATCGTTAACCTCCGCCAAAGAGCTCTGCTGTATAATCTTTGCGGGTAATGTAGCTGATAACGCGCAAGTGTACGTGCACTTAGCGTTCGAGGAGCGATGCAGTCTCGGCTGCGTTGTAAATTTTCACCTGGAACACGTTGCTCCGCGAAATATACCCATTGTTACCGATACCGATTTTGTTCTCGTTTCGCGAACTTTGCCGCACGAGTCGCGCCCGGAAATTCGCTTACCCACTTTCCACTTTATTGTCTACATTTGTACTTATTTTACTTATGGAATTAATTGTTCTGTAATCTCGTACGAGCGTTGTTACTAACTTTTGTTCCGTCATGGGTATTTTTTCGTACGAGTTTGCGATAAATATATCTCGGGTTAGCGAAACATTCGAAAATGTTAGACTGACGGGCCCGCGACAGCGTTTTGGTCATTGGTAAATAATAAACCGGCCGAAAATCACTTTACCGATTATAGCTGCTGCAACCAAATCGTAGGTATGTCGTTATAAGAGATATAAAATGTGTTATTCATAAGTGTTACTTGCTAAACTGTTATAATTTATAAGTCTATATGGTATAGAAAATTGTAAATAAATAAATGAATAATAAATATATTGATGTTTTATAAAAAAAAAGACTGCTTATGTTTATTATCAAGTTTTTAAAGTAAAATGAATCACGTACTAAGGAATTTTCAGGTATCCATGGTTACGAGCGACGTATATACTACCAAAACACACCATATGAAATATAAGAATTATTAGAATTCGTTCATACGGTTAGACCATGTGTTTAAATTAATGACGATCGATTAATCCCGAAAAGAATGAGTACTTTCATACATAACATACAAATTAAAGATGGGGAGTACACTAAAACAATTTATACTATGGTAAAGTTTCACTTATAAAATTTAATATAATTTCTTTTTTGTGATTTCAAATCGAGTAAACATGTACTACTTGTTTAGATAAAAGAGCAACGATACGTGGAGACAATACACGTATTAACTGTGCTATTGGATTCTAATGCTAGTGTCAGTATGAGCTTTTGAATTTTAATCAACAGCGATGTCTTATTCCCTTAATAAATACAACTTTATTCTAATTATATAAAATCTTTTATTTTAGTCGAGACAGTGTTTGTCGCTTTTGGCTTATTGTTATTATTACACCCAAGATTTCTTATCATCAGCAAGTTGTTACGAAAAGTTGGTGCAAATATGTCCAGAAGAAGCTTTGTACAAATTGTATCACGCACAAGCTTTGCATCAGGCTTGTTTATATCAAGAGGCTTGGACAGTTTGCGCGAGTATTGCAAACAATAACATCGTCGAAAACAAAGTAAAAAAACTCCAAGCAGCCATTAAATATGGACAAGAAGATACTGTAGCTGCCAAAAGCTATGTTGACCAATGTCCTCTTGATGATGTTGATACAGAAATTAATTTCGGTTGCTTGTTGTATCAGGTGAGAAATATTACATTTCTAAAAATTCGTTTTGCAGTCTTATTAGCATTTTATGTTACAGGAAGGAGAGTATGAACAAGCATTGAGGAAGTTTTCTAATGCTTTACAAGTAGCTGGTTTTAGGCCACATTTGTCATATAATGTAGCTTTATGCTACTATAAATTGAAAGAATATGCAGCATCATTGAAACATATTGGTATGATGGAATAGTATTTTTATGCAAAGTAAATTCTCAAATTGTTTTATTTTTAGCTGATATAATTGAGCAAGGAATTAGAGAACATCCTGAGCTTAGCGTTGGAATGACGACTGAAGGTATAGAAGTTAGAAGTGTTGGTAATACTTGGACTTTACATGAAACAGCGCTGACAGAAGCTTTCAATTTAAAAGCTGCTATAGAATATCAGTTGAAGAATTGTATGTACTTTTCATATTACAGATTGAAATATATTTACTTTAAAACTCCAATTATCTTTTAGATGCAGCAGCCAAGGAAGCACTAACAGATATGCCACCACGTTCAGAAGAAGAATTAGATGCTGTAACTTTACACAACCAAGCTCTTATAAACATGGATTCTAAGCCAAACGAAGGGTTTGAAAAAATGCAATTTTTATTGCAAAAAAATCCATTTCCATCAGAAACATTTGCTAATATATTACTACTTTATTGCAAGTATCAATATTATGACTTGGCAGCTGATGTGCTGGCTGAAAATGTACATTTGACTTACAACTATCTGAGTCCAGTAAGTAACAATTTAAGTCTATGTTAAAAATTTATTCAAATTACTTTATACAATCTCAAGATCACAATATAAATGCATAAATTATACTATACACAAATTTATTACTAAGATAATTAACTTAATCAGAGTGTTTTGCTTTAGAATGCTTACATTTTTTAGACCTCTTTCTATTTTCATGGCTAGATACACTAGAGTCAGATGAATCACTATCACTTGTACTGTACTTACGTTTCCTCTTCTTTTTTTTTTGTTCTTTAGACTTTTTCTTTTTCTTTTTGCTTTTCTCACCATCATCGCTTTCATCACTGTCTGAATCATCATGTTTCTTGCTTTTCTTTCTCTTTTTTGATTTTTTAGATTTGTGTTTTTTTTCTTTAGTTTCTTTTTCTTTTCTCAATGGTTCTACTTCATGTTCTAACTCTGTGTTTGGAGGCAAACTTTTTTGTGTTTTTGGTACTACCTGCATTACCTCTTCTTCCTCTTCAGAAGGCAATAAATCATACGTCTTGCCACCAGGTTTGGTAAAACAATATTTAGCAATATGACCAGGAGTTTTACATTGTGAGCAAACAGTTTTATAAACAGCACCAAGTTCAATAGCTTTTCTTTCAGCTTTTGGATCATATCGTTTCTTTTTTTGCTCGTCTAATTGCAATTGTACTCCGTTTGGGTCCAAATCTTTGCCATTACCTTGATTAACTAATTTCATCGATAAGGCTATTTTCCCATCATCAGCTATCGATATAACTTTACACCAAATCTTGTCTCCTCTATTCAAGACTTCAGCAACATCATCAACATGAGATGAGCTTACCTAAAATTGAATGAAAAAATAATGTTAAAAACAACGTAATACTTTACTAGGATCTATTCTAACAATTTCTAAGGAAAGATCAAAAGACTAACCTGTGACTTATGCACCAAACCTTGTTGTTTACAACCCGGTATTCTGACGAACGCCCCATAATTTTGTACGGATGCAACTTCTCCAACGAATATTTGGTTTAATTCGCACGCCGTCATGGTTTCACTATTCTTTTTCACTTCATGCAAATTAATACTGTATTAATTATGTAAATACGATCACATTATCGTATTTGTTTATTTTACGAGCTTGTACACTCGGTATTTGTTTGTAGATCAGAAACCTACTCTGCAGCTGCAGCCGACGCTATGTCTTTAATTATTATAGGTTATATTTTGATTCGTAAAGATTCGCGAGTTCCGCAAGTTGTCACTTTACTTGTAGGGGGTGTGTATACGGCCCTGTGCGTCCAAACTTAGACGGAGAGAAAAGTTACTGAACGGATTTATTTTTTTTAAATTAAAATGAACTTGTTTTTAGTGATGGAAAACATTTTCAAAACTTTAAGAAAATAAATCAAACGATCAAATTATTTTTTCGTTAGTAATAGTTTGACTACTTATCTTGTATCCCTTTTATTAAAAGTAAATAAATAAATAAACAATTAAGCATATGAAATAAAATTATATAAAATAAAAAAATGTATCACTGCGTTGAAAAGAGTGAAATGTGCAATACGAATGAAATGTTTCGCAGTACCTGTACGATTTCCTGGACGCTCTGATAACTCAGCAGACGTCGCCCGACGAGGCCTACCGGAAATTCGACGATCTGGCCAACAAGCACACGGAGGTGCTGCGCAAGGCCACGAAGCAGGTGCAGGAGGCCCGACTGAATCACGACGAGAACGCCGTGAAGAAGGCCGTGAACGACTACGAGGACGCCCTGGAGCGCTACGTGCCGGTCCTCATGGCCCAGGCCAAGATATTCTGGGACCTGAGCAACTACACGCAGGTCGAGAAGATCTTCAAGAAGAGCGTGGAGTTCTGCAACGAGCACGAGATCTGGAAGCTCAACGTCGCCCACACGGTCTTCATGCAGGAGAACAAGTTCAAGGACGCGGTCGGCTTCTACGAGCCGATCGTCAAGAAAAAATACGACAATGTACGCGGATCCTACCTATCGTTTCTCCTTTCTCTCTCTACATTGATATATTCTATTCGCATACGTTTTTTTTCAAGATTTTGGACGTGAGCGCGATAGTTTTGGCTAATTTATGCGTCAGTTACATCATGACCAATCAAAACAGCGAGGCCGAGCAGCTGATGAAAAAAATCGAGAAAGAGGAGGAGACGGTCGCCTTCGAGGAGCAGGACAAGAAGCTGTTTCACCTGTGCATCGTGAATCTCGTCATCGGCACGCTCTACTGCGCCAAGGGCAATTACGAATTCGGAATATCGCGAGTGATGAAGAGCCTCGAGCCCTACAACAAGAAGCTCGGCACCGACACCTGGTACTACGCGAAACGCTGCTTCCTGTCGCTCTTCGAGCAGTTGGCCAAACAACTCGTCGTCCTGAAGGACAACACGCTGCAGGATTGTATACAATTTTTCGAGCACTGCGAAGGTACATTCCACACGGTGTTCTAATATGCTAATTAATTAAACTCGTTCAATCGATCTTTTCGAATTATTTTCATTCAGTTTACGGAAGAGACATACCGACGGTATTGGAGCCACTTTTTGATTTGCAAGAGATGCCACCGATGCCGAAAGCCAAAGAAACCGTTACTTACGAAGCGAGATATTTGAAAGCCTTATTTTTAAAATACCAAATGACTTGAAGATCAGCCGTTACGATGATTTTTTTCCACGTACACTTAAATCTATGTATATATATTATTTGAGAAAATAAAATACTGTGATGAGTTTTGAAACGATGCATGTGGACTTTATTACTCAGTGAGCTGCTTAAACAAACAATGCAATTGTGTAGGTGTCGTTAAAATTTCCGTCACAATGCGTACGTTTACATAATCATCGCATTATTCGATGTAAGTGCATGTCCTAAACTAAATATGATATAAGAGTAACAAATTGCAAAAAGAAAAAAAGAAGCGGATAATAAGAAGAACCGGAAATGCCGTCATTCACACGATGTTATCCCGATGAGCTGTAGGACGAGACCGAAGAGTATCCGGGGCGTGATTCGACGTAAGTGACTTTCTGCCCGTTTCCACTGGCGTAAGCCTGGGCATAATTGCCATTGTTGCCCACCGAGTCGTAGATGCTACCCGGTCCGGACTGAGTTTGATATCTCGATCCATAATCGTCACCTGTCAAGTTTCGAAACCAATTTAAAAAAAAAATTTTCTAAGGAAATAGGCACAATTATTTTTGTTATGCTCACCGTAATTGTTGAATCTACTGCGTTTGCAATTTGCCACCGAGCTGAAATTGCGGATAAAGCGATTATTATAATGGCAAAGATTTTATGACTCTTCGGAAAAGCCGAGAGAAACTTACACAAGTACCAGGAGAAGCGCGAAGAGGAATAACTTCATGTTGATGATTTTTCGAGCAAGTTGGCAAGGCAAACAAAACGTGTCTTTTCGCCTGTCGCACTGCTGTTTGACTGTGATATTTCACCGACCGGCTCGCAACTATATAACTTTTGCTCGGGATATAAGCGCCAACGTCCGAAAGAAATAAATGTAAATGATTATGATGCACCGCGAGAAAAAAAAAGAAGAAAACGAGCCGCGAGGCAGATGCTTTCGATAACAAACGAATGGATCGATTAATTCGCCGTGCAGGTATATTTCGCGCTTTTTCGCGAAGAGGTATTATTATTGAATTAACGTGTGACACATTTTATATTTACAGTGACTAATGTGTTTGACTTCCTGATAAGATCATTATTTTAGCTGTTGGGTGATATAACAATTAAGTTTCAAATATAATGCAAATACTGTGTTACTCCGAGAGAGTGATATAGTGCTGTTAATTCACCCTGAGTCATTTCTCATTCGTAGCCTTCTATTTTTGAAGTGCATCAAAATAAACGCTCTCGACAATAACAAATTTAATCTTTCTTTTTAATTGTCTATTAATGTAAAAGCTAGTTCAAAACAACTTTAAACGATTATTCACGCTTTGGAGACTTTTTTCTTCTATGCAAATATTGACATTCCATTTGTTTCATATAATTAGATATAGAATTTTTACACTTATTACGTGTATTTATAATATATTTAAAATAACGAAAAATTTATCGGAATCTCTAAAAAAATTTTTGGTAATCATTTACTTTATTAGCTATGATGATTTCTTAGATTCAAATGCACATGCAGTAACTGATAGTTAATTTTATATTTCTTTTTTGAAAATCCTTCGGGAAAAAAAGCATGCGCAGTTTATAAGTGTTTTGATTGAATGTAGGTGTAGAATAGCGCTCAAAGATATATTAATGAGTGGTTGGAAAAATTTAGAATTGGGAACTGAATGATTATGCAGTGTTTCTAAACTCTCAATTAATTTATTCTTAGAGTATAGTAGCGCCGCTGCAGGATCTTTCAAATTTCGGCCTCAAGATTACGGACGCGCGAAGCTCCCCGCAAAATGAATAGACATGACATTGCTCTAAAGTGAGAGGCGCTAGCGAAAAATGACACGGCCCTGAACCTATTCATATATTTTGATCTCCAGGCTCACAGTAGACGATGACATATTTTGTTTGATCACATTTACAGTGTATTCGCACTAGCAGTAACCCTAAAAATGGTCGTTGACTCGGAGCTTGAAGAAGCTAAAGCGGCTGTTTTACAGTTGATGAAAGAAAAGGAAAAAATTGAAAATGAGTTACAAGCTGCCAGAAACATCCTTGATACCGTAAGTAGTTATTCCCTATTAATCAAGAATTATTTACTACTGTCAATCTCTAAGAAACCAAAATCTCTTACAATGACTTGTCTATTTTGATTTAAATTTTACTAATTTATTTGTAAGTTAATCCATATCAAAAAATTTATTTGTAATTACTATGATGATTTCAGAATAATGTGGGAATGACAGACGAATTAGTGGATTCTGCTGGTTTTCCTAGGAATGACATTGATGTTTATCAAGTTAGGCATGCTCGTCACAAGATAATATGTAAGTCATTTTTGAAAAATTTATTAAAAATTGTATCATTTTATACTGGTTTTTATTTTTAATAAAAACTCTTCCCTTTTTTTTAATTTTTAAATTTACAGGTCTGCAAAATGACCACAAAGCAATAATGATAAAAATTGAACAAGGATTGCACAAAGTTCATCAGTTTGCTAATTCTGGTGAATCACAAGGAGCGACTGCTTCTACCTCTAGCCCTACAGAAGAAACATGTTTATTGGAGCCTTTTCTTAGAGTTGATTCAGTCTCTGCTGGTTCTCCAGCTGAATTAGCAGTAAGTAAAAATTTATAGTTCATTTTGAATAATCAAAGGAATATGCTATATTGGATTTTTAAACTAAACTTTAATATTTCATGTTCTACAGGGTATTCAAGTGGATGATTTCATATTAGAATTTGGATCAGTTTCTAATAGAAATTTCAAGTCCCTCAAAGATATTGGTAATTTAGTAGAAAGTAGCCGCTACAAAGAGGTACCAGTTAAGATAAAACGTGGCTCTAATACTTTTGCATTAACTTTAATTCCACGGCCTTGGAGTGGAAAAGGTTTGCTTGGATGTCATGTTGTGCCCTTGGAAGCAGTTGAAAGATAAAAGGAAGAAAATTAATTCTAAGTATTTAAGATAGTAATACTGTCTCTATAAGTCTTATTCGTTGAAATAAATAATTATTTTGAAAAAAATTAAATAAGTATCGTGTTGCTGCTGTAATCCTTGTATTCAATGATATTAACAATTTTTTTTCATAGTAATCCACCTAATTGTAATTCAATATTTATAATCCATAGGATTATAGAGTTATTATTTTTATGCTCCTAGCTATATAAGACGTCAAACTTGGTGTTCTTTCGTTAGTTGTTTTGAACATAAAATCAAAATGAAATTATTTTTGTTTGTGAGTAAAAGAAATTGTTATACTTTATTTGTGTTGTTAATAAGAATTGTATTAAAAATTCATTTTTGATTTTTGGATGTTTTAGTCCTTGTGTGCTTCTTTTGTAATTGCCTCTTGCACAGGGGCTGTTGTTGATTATTCCAATATTGCACCATGGCCTGTCAATTACAGAGTGGTACCAGTCCATGGAGTTGAAGAATGGTCTCAAGATTGGAATGACCAAAAAATAGTTGAAAACAACAAAATTGGCTGGGGTTGGGGAAATCAACAGAGACAAGATTCCAATGGACCCTACAATGCCTGGGATAACAATTCTCAGTGGGACCGTCGCAACAATAATCGCGTTGAGCAGCTTATCAGTGCAAATCAGCACATAACTGTGAATGGTCAACCATGGTCTTCCCATGTAAGTTGATTTTTAAGTACTAATAAATGAAAAATAAAAAATAAAGCTTTAATTGATGTAAATTCGATTTTTTATTTCTTTTTCAGAAAAGTTGGCCAAAACACGAAAAAATTACTCAAAATTAAACAAATTTGTTTTAAATAAATATTTATACATTTTTTGAAAATTTATGCAAGCTTGAAACATATAAATTTCTATATTAATCTATAAAAAATATTTGAACAATGTTATTGCTATGTAGAAGCCAAAATAAATATTAAATAATTTTAAAGAATGTTCAATAATATTTTTAACCCTTTCCAACATTTGAATGTTTATGGTCTGTCGCATAATCTTTTCAAATAAGTTGATATGGTGTTCGGGCTTGTTTATTCCGTGATTTCACAACATGTCAGCAGTCAAAGTAGCAGACGAAATTCATTCGAAACGCATGTGCTGAAATGATTATCGAAAGTAAGCCCGGCGTCTCGTATTGCAATTTGTGACATCATTTATTATGGCAAATTTGTACAAACGTTATTTGAGATTGTTGGACAAATGGCCAGTTGATCCCCTCAGAGATCCAAAAACGTATGTAGAAATTGCTATTTTAATTTTATTTCAAATTTTTATATTGAAACTTGCAGGTTAATTTTTATTCTTACGTGCTTTTCATCTTTGTTACTACATAAAATAATATTTTCTTTGATCCTGAAATATTATCTTTTAAAAATTAAATTGTAAACTTTGTGGCAGTTCAAAATTTTATTCTGTTTCAGTGAATTTGGTGCATATCTTCGAGAACAAGTAAAAATAGCATTTGCCAAAGGTGATAATTCAAAGATAGAGAATAAAGAAGAGTGCTTGAAAAACTTGGAAGCCTTAGAAAGATTAGCGAATAATCATTATCAGAAAAAATACCCAATAACACCTACGGATAAAACTGCTTCTGGACTAACTCTTGAACAGTGCCAGTTTGTTTTGAGTAAAGAGTATTTAGAATATGCTGCAAAAAGAAAACTAGGTTTTTTTCAACGATTAGGTGAATCAGTAAAAAATATTTATTTTCAGTATCAAACACCATCCCAAACTGAGAAAAAATAATTTTCTACATATTGTTTATTAAATTATTTATTCAAAATGAATAATTTTAAAGTAGCACGATTGTTAAATGCTTCATGCAGATTTTATTGTACAGAAATTCAAAAGGTAAAACCTCCTCACATACCAGTTATGGCAAATGAAACACTTAAATACTTGAAACCATCTCCAGGTGATACCATAATTGATATGACATTTGGTGCAGGAGGTCATACAAAAAAAATTTTAGAAGCAGTACCTGATGTAAAAATATTTGCACTTGACAGAGATATAACAGCCATAAAATATGCTGAAGAATTAGCAAGTCAATATCCTGGTCAAATCATACCACTACAAGGAAAATTCTCTGATTTACCTCAGTTATTAAAACCTCACAAAATAAAAAAAAATAGTATTGATGGTATGTTATTTGATTTTGGAGTTTCATCAATGCAATTTGATACACCTTCAAGAGGGTTTATGCTTTCCAAAGATGGACCTCTTGACATGAGGATGGATACATTATCAGATGAACCAACAGCTGCAGATGTACTTGAAAGAGCAGATGAAAGAGACTTGTATCATATATTAAAATATTATGGAGAAGAAAAAAGAGCTAGGAAAATTGCCAGAGCTATCGTGGAAGCAAGGTATAGTTTTAGAAGCTTAAAAACGACTCATGAATTAGCAAAATTCATAGATGCCTTATATCCAAGTGAAGGTTCTCATGATGCATTAGGTCGATTTCAGCATAGTGCAACAAAAACTTTTCAAGCTTTAAGAATTTTTGTAAATAATGAATTAAATGAAATAAATCATGGCATTGTCATTGCTGACAAATTGCTTAAGATTAATGGCAGATTGGTGACTATATCTTTTCACTCTTTGGAAGACACTATTGTGAAAAGACATCTTTCTGGTAATTTAACTGGCACCGTAGCTAATCAGTTACCTCTAAGATATAGCAATCATGGAATTGTTTTTGAAAGCAAAGAAGTTGTTGAAAATCTAACTCAGTCGCCTTGGCTAATGCTTCATAAACATGTTTTACTTCCCACTGATGAAGAAGTTTATGAAAACCCTAGATGTAGGTCTGCGAAAATGCGTGCTTTAGTGAAAATTAAATAATATTTTAACAAATGGCAAAGTGCTTGATGTAATCTTGTAGAAACATTGATCATTGTAAATAAATGATGAAACTATAATCAACAGAACATTATTCACATCTATAAATATTACCTTTCTCATGGCATTATTCTTTCGAATACAACTGTGTTGTAAACTTATTGCACTAAAATTGTAGACAATAAAAACATCATGTACATAATTCCATAGTAAATTTTGATTTTGAAACAGATTATTCAAAAATGGTAAAAAGTTGTACATTTGATATATTAAAACTATGCTTTATATAATAGTTAAATGGGCAGGATTGCAAAATATCGATTAGTAAGTAATTAAAAATACCATAGTTATTACAATAAATAATATTTATCTTGCAACGAAATTAAATACAAAATTATCATAAAAGTAGTAAAAGTTATGAGTTTTCTAAAATTTATCATTATATTACAACACATTTTATAATGGAAAAAGGATTGCCTTGTCAATATCAACATTTTTTCATAGTTTTTTTAAAAAAGACCTTCAATCTCGTCCGTTTCACTATTCCAGTCCATGTCATAAATGGCCGGTCTCGTAGGTAATCCAGGCATCATCATAATCTACGAGAGTGACAAAATAGCAGGATTAAAAATTTGATAAATGATCGGTCGATCAATGTAATCCAACGACAATTACGGTGACGATCGTTTGCTTACCTCTCCAACCATCGGTACGACGAATCCAGCGCCTACCGAGACGAAGATGTCGGTGATATTCAATTTAAAGCCAGTTGGCGCATTTTTCACGTTCGGATCGCCGGTCAACGAGTTGGAAGTCTTGGCCATGCACAGAGGTAATCGGTTGTAGCCGAGTCTGTTGTATTCCTCGATTTTCTGTTTGACCTTGTCGGCCAACTCCACCTCTCCAGCGCCGTACATCTCTCTAGCGATCTTGGTGATCTTGTCCTCGATACTGAGATCCAGTTCGTAAAGGAAGTGGAAGTCGCTCGGCTGAGCGGTAACGTTTATCACGGCGTCGGCCAGATCCAGTGCGCCTCTGCCACCGTCGGCCCAGTGAGTGCAGACGACGGCCGAGGTGGCTCCGTTGGCGATCGCGGCCTCCTTGACGAGTTCCAGTTCCGCCGGTGTATCGGTCCTGTCGAGCAAATTCAAAATCCAATTAGGAGCGTTAAGCCTCTGCGGCATCGCGAAAATCGTTACGGGATCACTTACGAGTGCGCATTTATGGCCACCACGACGGGCACGCCGAACTTGACGCCGTTGCTGATGTGCTTGATCAAGTTGGGCAGGCCGTTTCTGATGAGCTCGACGTTCTCCTCGACGTACTCCTTCTTCAAGGGCGATCCGGGCGTGACGGGCGGCCCACCGCCGTGCATCTTGAGGGCGCGAATCGTCGCGACGAGGACGACGGCGTCGGGTTTCAGGCCCGATGTGCGGCACTTGATGTCGAAGAATTTCTCCATGCCGATATCGGAGCCGAAACCCGCCTCGGTGACGACCACGCCCTTCGGCCCGACCAGTTTCAGGGCTATAGCGTCGGCGAGCACCGAGGAGCAGCCGTGAGCTATATTGGCGAATGGACCGGCGTGAACCAGCACCGGGGTGCCCTCGAGACTCTGCATGAGGGTCGGCTCGATGGCGTCCTTCATCAAGATCGACATGGCTCCGGTCATGCCCTGTGTTCATAAAAAAAAAACAACAACGTTATCATCAACCTGGCTAACGATTTTGAACGTTAACAATTGAACAAACTTACGAAATCGTCAGCTGTGAGTGGTTCTCCACTTTTGCTGAAGGCAACGACCATGTTGCCGAGACGCCGCTTCATGTCCTCGACATCGGTAGCGAGGGCGAGAATGGCCATGACCTCCGATCCAACGGAAATCTTGAAGGACGATTCTCGCGTCAGGCCCTTTTCCGTCGAGCTCTGGCCGATCGTTATTTTGCGCAGGTAACGATCATTGATGTCGACGACTGCCAAGTAAAAGCGACCAATATTTAAAAATATCTAACATTTGTAACTGGAACATTTCAAGTCAAGCGAAGAACCATACCTCTGGTGAATGGAATGTTTTTGGGATCGATGTCGAGTCTGGCGAATCTTCTCTGCTCCTCGGGACTCAAGCTGTTGGGATCGGTTTTGTCGATGCCCAGTTTGGCCAAGCGTCTGAGCTGGATTTTGGAGAATTTGCGTACTCCTTTGACGGTGGGCACGAGTCTGTCGAAGAGAGCCTTGTCCGATTGGGTCTCTTCGTGGAAGTATCTCGCGTCGATTTGGGCAGCCATCAGATTGTTGGCCGCGGTTACCGCGTGTATGTCGCCCGTCAAGTGAAGATTGAATTCTTCCATGGGAATAACCTGCGACGAGGAGATAATGGGTTTAGATCGATAAAAGACCGAAATTTCATAATAAGTATATCCTTATAGCGTACCTGCGCGTAGCCACCACCGGCGGCGCCTCCTTTGACGCCGAATGTCGGTCCTTGGCTGGGCTGCCTCAGCGTACCGATGGAATTGGTGCGTCTGTGTCCGGTCAGGGCTTGAATGAGCCCGAGGGTGGTCGTGCTCTTGCCCTCGCCGAGGGGCGTCGGCGTGATCCCGGCCACGACGACGTACTTGCCGTTCTGCTGGTTTGCCAGCCGCTTGAGCACGTTCAGATTGACCTTGGCCTTCTTGCTGCCGTACGGGCTGAACTCGTTCTGCAGCAGGCCGATCTCCTCGGCCAGCAGAGTGATGGGCTTGGGCTCGTGGGCGCGCGATATCGCGATGTCGCTCGGCACCGGCCTCTCGATCTTCAGATTCAGCAGGCGCATGCCGCTCCACTCGGTGGACATGAGGCGCTCCGCCTGCCGCTGGGCCGACAGCACCGTGTTCTTCATCAGCATGGCGACGGTCATCGGTCCGACGCCACCGGGCACCGGTGTGATGTACGAGGCTACCTGGAACGCCTCGTCGTAGGCCACGTCACCGACTAGACGCTGGCCCGATTTTTTCGTCGGATCTGTTCGACAAAATTATCGTTATTCTTATGGATTAGGCTCAATAAAATCACTCAAATTATTAAATCATTACTTCAATTTTACAAGCTTTTTAAAACTTCAGCTTTCAATTTACTCTATATTTATTCTCACATTAAATATTTAATCAATATAACGAGCTGCATTGATTAGAAACAATGTTCTCAATACGATGAATTTAATAAAACCTCTGAACTAAATTTCCAAAAATATGTCAAATATATGTGTTTTCGAAAACAAACCTGTTCACTATCTAGGACACGTGGGTAAAAAAGAAAAACTAGCGTCGGATGCGCGCTAGATACATCGGCGGCGCATTTTACACGCGAGCGAGATAAGGACGGAGATTCACGCGCACAAACATGAACGATGAGCCGGGCCGATATTATAGAAATGCTAATATTGAAATGAGAGGAGCAGCGCAAGCATGTCAAGTGTTATTTCCATTTGTAGCCCGAGATTGTACCACACACGACTTATTTCGTAACGAAAATACTCGGTTTATCTCTTTATTTGCGGAATTCACGGATCGTCTGATTTTTAAGAGAACTCAACAATTTCGCTTTATAACATTTATTTGCACCGTTATGAACGGCACCGGAGATTCTTTATTTCTTTTTAAAAGTCAAAAATTGAAAAAAATGAAAAAAGTCAATCCGAGAGTAGGCTCACCTGGGATAGCATTGATACCGCAATCGATCACGACCGCGCCGGGTTTAATCCACGATCCCTTGACCAGCTCTGGTTGTCCGATTCCGACGACCAAAATATCAGCTGTTGCTACCTATTTTTTCATCGATAGCAATAGTTATTTTATAATAAAAAGCTGACTCGAACAAAAAATGTTTTTTTTTGTTGAAAATATTACTCACAACTTTAGGTAAATCTTTGGTCCTGGAATGGCAGACTGTCACTGTAGCGTTATGCCACTTGAGCAGTTCAGCAACAGGTGTTCCGACAATTTTACTTCTGCCCAGTACAACAGCCGTAGCTCCTTGGATAGTCACACCAGATCTGTTGTAAAATAAATCATTTTAAGAATACTCGAGCAATCGTTGAGACTGCTTTCTTTCTCTAATCGAATCATATTTACTGTTTAATCAGCTCCATGCAGCCGTTTGGGGTGCACGGCAAAAAGCCGGTCATGTCGCCAATAGCAACTCGTCCCTCGTTGATAGTGTTTAATCTGCGGTCGAAGAAAACAAAATTTATTCTCTTTTCACTTGTCATTAAAAAGTTTTGAAACTAATGTCAGCAACGCACCCGTCGACATCTTTAGCCGGCGAAACAAAGTCAGTGACGAGGTGCGAATCGATTTTGTTGACGCTGTCCAGGGGCATTTGCACGATGATACCGTGGGTGTTCGGATCATTGTTGAGCTTGTCCAGGGCGCTGAGCAGCTCGTGCTCGGTCGTCGTGTTGGGCAGCTTGACGTGCGTAGCCTTGATGCCGATCTCGGTGGCAGCCTTGATCTTCATGCGAATGTAGACATTGGAATCCTCCCGACCACCGACCTGGACGATTGCCAGGCCCGGCAGGTAAGATGGAAAATCTTTTTGGACTCTTTGGACATCTTTCGCCAGCGATTCTCGGATCGATCTGTAATAGTGCTTTGTAATGTAATTGTTGTCTGATAGTATTCAACAAAAAATCGGTATTTGTGAAAAAGAAAATTCAGTTGCATATTCGATGTTTATTTTTCGCAAATTTTCACGTCAAGTTATTTTTCGCTTAAATGAAACCAACAAACGATATCACGAAAACCAGCTCCGATAAGATTTTGTTTACCAGCCTAATTTTAAATCTCTGCGATTATCGTTTCACGTTGTACGAGATTTTAAAAATATTGCTAGTAGCGTGTTTATATCGCGCAGAAGATTAAAAATTTTATGTATATCAGAATCATATGGTAAACGTTAAAATAACAACTTGATAAAAAAAACGAGTATAAGAAGGTTCAAAATACTCGTTCCATGAATATATTGGAATAATATAAAAATGGATGGCAACAATTGTGAGCCTTGGAGTAAATAATTTGTTCACGGCTTTGCGTTAATCATACGGTAAACCGATCGAGCAACATGGTATACTTTTTGTAATTGATACTTTTACATATATTTTTCTCATTACGTATATCGAAATATCTTACGCAACGAGACATTTTGCAGGCATAGCAGAATCACGCAGATGCATTTAATATACAAACATCGGCATTTCTTAAGTTATTATAATAATGAATAATGTGAACATTACTAACTTGGCAACCTGCGTGCCTGACAGCACTTGACAAGTCGACGTCGCGTCGGCCACCATGCTTCTGCTGAAAAATCTGTAAACAAAGCCAAAACAGAAACCAATGACCGGCTGCTTTATACAATTTTTCCTGGGCCAAAAGCCACGTGTCCGTACAGGCACGAGATTTTTCGGTTATATATCTCACTGGGACAAGTTTTTGCGCCGTTGCTACTTACTGCTTCTTGCACTATTGCTTGCAGGGCACGATGTGTGTGTTTGTGTTATTTTGTGTGTGTGCACGCGCGCGACGCAACTAGTACAGTACACAGTGGCGAGGAGAGAAAATGTGTATTATCGCCTCGCTCGTTACGTGTATATGTCGTGCGTGTATGAGCGAGAGCCGTGTGTGGAATATACCATCGAGCCGCGCAATGTAAAAGTTGCTCCGAACGCTCGGCTAATTTCCCCTACTCGATGCCCCGTCACACGTGTGCCTATGTGCTGCTAAACGTATATACGAGAGAGATAATCGTACATCTTTGCCTGCGAAACCTCGTGTTACTGCTCTCAGTGGTGCTCAGTCAAAATATATTAAATCTCTGCGTGTAATGTATCTGCCGAAGGTGAATGCCTTGTCTCCCATCTTTTTTTATAGAAATAGTGCGGTAAGCATATGTCTCGAGTTCTCGAGTGTTTTCAATAGTGTCACTTCTTACGTAGAAGCAGAATTTTTATTTTATCGGAGTCACTCGGAGTCTGTGAATTTAATTCTCTTCGCGAGTCAAAAAATGTAGATGAACTTGTACAACTCGAGATACGAATAATTATAACAACATGTTATTTTAAAGTTGATTAAATGTAAGAGAAAATTAAAGGGAAACCAAGGAAATTTTTACAATAAAAATTTTCTTCCACAATACCAGGGTATTGGTGGTTAATCTTTTTACAATTAAACTAGTTTTTTATAGTATTTGAGGATGAAGGTTAAAAAAGGTTCACTATAATGATGAGTGATAAATTTTAATAAATCATCAACTCTAATTAGTTGAATTAGCCGAACAATTACAATATGTTTATCCCGGCCCGATAAGGCGGGGTTTATTGAAATAATTAACATTTATTCAATAACCGAAAAGTTGTCATATAAAAGCTTACTTGAAGAATCCAAGTACTTTAGTCATACGAACGAGCACCGCGAAGATTCGCGCCAAGACTAATTGTTCTCTGTACTATAAGCATGAGCTGTTGACTGCTTCTGCTTTGCTGCAGTTCGATCTTCAAATGCACTCTCTAGGCAATCCGGCATAACGATTTTTACTGCATCAAATGCGATAATAACCTATGAGTGTATTTTTATCGAACAAAACGTATTTTCTTGAACTTTGACCTCTGCATCCGTATCGTTTTGCACAGATACTCGAAGTAATAATTTTTATAATTACGATATGATTACATCTGCTTCAACCTGTATCGAGTGTGCCAGAGCAATTACGATATATAGTTAATTTTAGCTATATTTTTGTACTTTTTTATCGAATCGGATGTTCGTATAATGGCATATTATACGAATATCGACTATAGATAAAAGAATATCTTATGCAGTTCTCCTCTCTGCATCAGTGCCGATGATTGTTAATCAGTTGTTTTGGCAAATATACAAATATTATCAGGTAAAGTGAGATACGAGCCACAGTCGATCAACATTATAAAATTATATTTGAAATTACGAATAAGGAAATGACGAAGAGGATTAAGTCGCGTTTTGCTCCAGCTGCACAAGCGGTATATCGATGGCTAGATGTAAATACACACATGCAGCCTGAACACGTGTGCGTCCATGTGTACGTGTGTATGGATATAAATCGGGAGCGAGGAAATACGCGCGACGAAGCGATTCACCTCGAGGGACTGCGGGGTGGTTTGACTGGCTTGGTTTCGCTCGCCGCACGACTCGAGTAATCTGAATTTCGTCGGACTTGGCGTTAATCAATTTGGATGCTGCTCAAGAAAGCCGAAACCAAATTTGCTTTAATCGTTCATCTCGCTGTGTACATGTACAATATGTTTATGCTGCTCTATTCGCGATTATTGGCTGCCCGACATATTATTATTTCGATACAATATTATAGAAACGATCGATTTCCATTATACACTATATCGAACAGCTAATATCATGTTTTAAACTCTGTCGATGAAGCCGTGCGTCATGCATACAAGTATATTTACGCAGTTTACAATCTCGTCGTCGGCAAGTCCACTCCCGAGACTTGGAAAACTTACTATGTTATGCGCTTTAAGGGTTTTGTGCTCGCATATAGCCTCGGGGGGTGGCAACAACGTCCATGCCGAGCTTCGATCAAGCAGTTCTTGGGCTCTTTATATGCTTTACACTTGTATTATATCTTCGTGTCTATATAGATTCGTCGGATGCGAATAGGCAAAGCCGAGCGCGGAGAATGTCTGGGGCCAGGCGCAAACTTGCACCGCAAATTCCTTATCCCGGACCACGAAAGGAGGTATCCGGAGGAGGAGTTCGAGTCCAAGTCCAAGTCGTTTCACCGTCTCGTCTCGGACTTTCGGGGAAACTTGTCGAACTTTGCCGATTGGCCAAACTGCTTCGACTCGACCGGTGCTATCTTTAATACGTTCCGTATGGAAAGAAGTGGCTCCTGCGGTGCTTGTTATGCCTTTCTTCGAGTTTTCGAGTTGTCCTACTGCACGTATGAATGTATAAGCAAAGTTTGAATAAGGTTTCGTTTGAAATCTTTGTTATGGGCAAAGCCTATGACGATTTCGCGAGTCCTTTCGTACGTGAACTTCAATTTTGTCTTCGATGCATAGATTGATGCACAATTCGTGAGCGTGATATTACTTGCAAATAAAAAAGGATTACTGCCATATGGCTAGGAAATTTTTGTAAGTAGCAAATTCAACGTTAGCATAATCGTCATTATACTTGATCTTTATTGTTTCGATTAGCTAGTAGTTGAGCATTTTCATAGATTATTTGCAACCCCGAAAAGAATCAGTTAAATAAAAATAATAATTTTTACTATTTTCCATGTGACAATCATTCATTTATTATAATTATTTTGACCCGAGCTTGTGCTAGGATCTACGATAATCACATAGGTCTAGTTTGGTAGCATCAATTCATTTTATATCGAACAAAATGCAAATTTTCAAGCGTTACCTTCTTGCGTATGAAAAATAAAATTTTAACTTCAATTATTAATCTCTGTGAATGTTAAGCAATGAAAGCACTGTTATGCAAAAATTATTTTCTTGAACTATTAGTATTTCTCCATAACTTGATAATTTCTGCATTCACATTTTTACACTTTTGATATTATCGCCGTCCAAGTTTTCTTCGATGAGTTCGATAATTTAGATAATATCGCTTAAAAACAGCATTATTTAATCCAAAGCTCTCAGTAAGATTCGATATCCACACTGGCTTATACCTGTACAAATTATGAATTCTTCTTGAATGAATATTAAATATGACAAAAAAGTACTTTTATAATTTTTTTATTTACTCAACTATAAATAGAATAATTGTACATATTATAAATATCAAATAATTATTATATGCTTTAAAAAACACGTAGATCATGTAACATATTCAAACTCGAGTAACTTTGTGAGACTCACCTTGTGAAGCCAGTAAAGGCAAAAACAAGTTTTCATATATTCTATTCTATAGTCCTATCAAATAATTATTTACAATCTTTAAGTATTTTTTCAATTAGTTGGCAATTTAAAACATATTTCTTTTTTTATACAAATGTAAACTTCTTTACTAAATTCATGTTAATGATGGTATGTCGAAATGAAATTTTTAAACTAAAGCTTAATAATAAATCTAACGGAAAGTTAAAACTTTTACTATCACTATTGTGCCGTGACAGTCTGAGAAAATTTTAATCATTTATTCAGATTATTAAAATCAATTTAGATTTGACTCTGACTGGGAAATTGCCACCTTTAACATATTAAATAAGGTTTTATACAAAGTTTGTTTTTCAAAGTCACATGTATACAAGTTAATAAAATGCAAACGGATGAAGGTGAATGTGACCCAACAATAAATATGAAGCTTCGATTTAAATTAAATTAACTGAAATTTTAAAAAATTTATATTTTTAATTTGGTGCTTCGAGCTCATCTTTGTTCCGGATAAAAAATAGAATTTTTCTAGAATCGAGCGCTGAAAGTAAAAATTTGTTGTATTTTTGTTCGAGTATAATTTGTACGCAATTAATATAAATACAGCTCCTTGGTAGACACACTTTTCAGCTTCAGGGATCTCCCTACTTTTGCTCACGTTCGTGTGTTAACTGAATTAAATAATTTAAGTGTGCGAAAAAAACATAGTATAAGTTGTGATCTTAAATGAATAATTAATTCAAAGTTGTGTGAAAAGGACAGACCCGTAAGTACGTTGCAAAAATGACATGAAATTCCACAGTCATCAAGTTTGCTTTAATAATCAAGTGTAGAACAACAACTGGTCTTGTAAATGTAGATGTATAACTCTTGACTACTCTCGAGTACCTTCTCTCTCTCTCTCTCTCTCTCTCTCTATCTTGCTCTCTTTCGGACTAATACGAACGTGATCGTGTTTTCAATCAGAGCTTCCTCTCCATTCCTCGGCAATAAGACACGCGACGTCGAGAGCGAAGAGGAAGAGAGTAGAGTAGAGAGTCGGGAAAGATATAGGAGTGCAGTAGGTATACGACGTTCAACTCGGTGGCTAATCGAAATTAATAGCTCTGCTCTTGCTTGCGAGTCCGGCTGTATAAACCGTTCATATATATACGTGTATATAGGTAGCACGCATAGCTCAGTCGAAGAGTCCGCCCCCGCATCTAGACGATATCTGGCGAGCATGCCGAGGAAATTTCAAGAGAAGGACCTGGCAATAAATTGATGATCGACCAGCGCGCAGGAGCAATACCGGAGGCTTATGAAATTAATGCAGGCGCGCGCGAGCGACCAAGGAGAAGCTACTGCTACTTGGCCTCTCCGCCGACATATGTATATAGACTCGAACTTGAGGGGTGGCTGCTTTTCTTTGAGAATAGCCGCACATTCCTCGCGTAATAAGGCTCGAGTCTCGGAGGGAAATAGCTCGCCGTCGCCGTCGTCGTCGCTGCGCAGCATTGGCCGCAGTATAAGCAGCGGCTTGTCAGCACATTTTGCCTTTGGATGCTCATTACGTACGCTTCGATTGAGTTTTAGAAAGCTCGACAGGAGCGACGGCTACGCGCGTGTGTCCAAGGACCAGCTGAGCTTTTGAAAGATGCCCCGCGTGCTTATAAGTCGCTTGTCTATGCATGCGTTAATGCCGATGATAAGATGAGCACTGGATACGATATATGTATCGTGCGTTCGAGGGGATATTCGGCTATTGCGACTGAGTCCCGCAAACGGCATTACTCACATAATTTCTATAGGCAAATTTTAATCTTCCTTCATTTGGTTTTTGTGCGTTCGATTACATATCTAGTATTAGATTTTTTATTCGAGCAATAAGAAGCCACGGCTTAAAATTTTTTATTAATTATAACAGTTACAGCGAGTATGCGACGTACGCAGCGTTGATACGAATAAAAAAAGATAATTCGGTTTTTCGTAACTTGTTGATGACTGCACGCCTAGTAAGCATTCACCAGTCTCGGGGAAGAAAAAAACTCGTTGCTCGACCTGGACAAGTTTCGTCCCCTTTTGTATCTTTGTCTGCGTCCACAATAGTACAGAGAGCTGCACAGGTGTGCTGGCTGATTCTCGAAAACCAAAGTAGCCTTTATTCTTCGCGCAATATGATTTCTTTCGCTGTATAGTTATGCAGATCGACTGGCTTTCGGCTGCGTAGTACCTATATACAACGTGTAACGTTGGAGCGATCGCGACGCAGTGTGCCCCTGTAAACATACATACACACATACCTCGCATCGCTCGCGTCCCTTAAGTTGATTAGAAAGTACTCGTAAAGGTGCACGCGATACGCCAGAGAACGGCTACACGCGTTAACGTATAGAGTCGATTGATCAGCATCGCGGCGGCCAGGCCAAAGTTTCCTCTGTTTGAATTTCGAGTAGATTTGTGCGCGCGGCGGCCTCGGCTTTCCTCGCGATTGCCGCAAGGACCTAAAGTAGATTGGCTCCGATCTACTTACTTACACTTTGCATCCCGTTGGCCGGTTACAATAGCCCCGTAC